GCCAGGACACAGAAACTCCCTTCTTGTTTCAGCTAGTGCCATGGGATCTTTATTATCCATCTGGACAGGCAGAGGCGACCTTGGTTTAATGTCTCATGTGAAGGATGGTACATCTAATAATGCACCCCCAGCACTGCATTGGAATGTGAATTAAACATCGTGACATGGATCTTAAGCCACCATCTTCTAGCCCAGAGGTGAGTCAGACTGACACCTTGCATATTGCATTAATAAAGTAAATCTAGAACCAGGTGGAATTTGTACCAAGGATTATGATTATTAAAAAGAAAGCCAGAACAAGATATTAGGCCCAAGAAGTCAGTTCCTTCCAAGGCTGTTTGCAATATTCCCCAGACCTTGTATTCTGAAGGAAAACACTTCCTAATAATTGGTCAACGTGTGAAGTTTCTGAACATGTCTCTCTAACCACTGTGCACTCCCCTACCATACTTACAGACATTCTCTGGACTCACTAGGTCGGGTACCTGTTTTGCATGTCCTGTATGTGGTGTGAATTTTTTTTTAAAAATCACATTTTGTAATTGCTCGTCTCACTTTGAGGTTTATTCATTGAGCCTGTGCCAAATTATTCCGTACTTTGTGTCCCTTGCACCTGGGACTCAGCTGCATCAAAAGATGTCAAACGCATGCCTTATAAAAGCACATCAAGACTACGAGTGTTGCGTAATACTTTGAGTGAACCTTGCATTTATGTTTGGACCACCAAGTGAACACTATCGAAACATTCACAATGGATTAAGCAGAGCTCAGGAAACTAAACTGAATGCCGTTCAAAATCTGATTAGAAGACTCCGATTTCTAATCTAGTTTGACTAGACATGATTAAGATATTTATCAGGTTTCACAATACTTATCCTCTGCCAAACCCGACGTCTGATTTCAGCTACGCTGTGCACTGTGGATGTGCAACCAAGTTGTCATAGCAACAGCGTTGTCAATGCTTGCACAAACTAGATTATAATGTGGTAATGAGCAGCGCTGCCTGCTGCTTTTGCATTCTGTACCTCTGGCTCTTTGCAGAAAGCCCATCACCCCTGCCCTTTATACTCTAATTAGTATGCAAACTCCTTGGCAGAAGGCTGTCCTAGTCTATCATATTGCGATGCACGGGGGAAGCATTCCATGCAAGTTTAGATTTACTTTACACACTTCACAATTCAGAGTGTCCAGAATTTGGCAAATTGTTGAATTTAGTCTAAACTTTAAAGTCGCCTACAAAAACACAGTCACTTCACTTTACAGTAAATCCTGTGCTGCGCTTTGAGATGCCCTGCAGACATGAAAGGCACTATATCAGAAGTTGTTTAGATCTTAAAAGAAACTTACAGCATCGTGGAAATTTTCCCCAACAAAATGACAACGGGGCCAAGGAGCCTTCGCTTCCCATTTACGTTCAACTCCTTTCAAATCACTAAGCTTGATCCCCTGGAAATAGGTGCTGCTAATGGGCCTGCATGCCCACTGATTCTCCCTCCTGGAGATTGGTGTGGCTTCTCTTTAAGGATATTAATAATTATTAGTATTAGTATTACTGAAAATGTGATAAGGCTCTATAATAATAATCCTTGCACTTGATATAGCACCTTATGATGTCATTGAGACTTCTCAAAGTGCTTCACAGAATATATTGTAAAGTGAATTGACTGTGTATTTTGTGGGTGAAACATAACAGTCCTGTTTTAGGATTGGTACTGAGCCACATCAAGTTCCTTCTGACTGGCTCGATGCCCAAATGCATGGGAGGGAGATTGCAGTTACTCTACTGTGAAAGCACATCTTGCCAGGTCAATGTTCCTGCCTGTTACCCAAGCCCACATTCATTGTGCTGCGCTGGGATTCATTCTCTCCATCAGCCACAAAGCATTCATCTGTCCTATCACTCTTTTAACCTACCTTTTAACTTGTGATTAGCTGAATTACAATCAACTTGTTTGAACATACTTTTTGATTTCTTTACCTTTTACTGTGCTTCAGCCTCTCTAAATCAGATTGACAGCTTCACATATGCATGGAAATTACACAACAAAAATAGCATTTGTCTTTGAAATTTGTCCTCAGTGTTGTTTCTCTTCAATACTTTTGTTGAGCGTATTCTCACAAGATCAGTTTGGATGAAGAAGGCCCTTTGGCTCAATTGATCTCATCCCTCCAAAACACCAAGCCTACCATCTTTCCATCACAGCATCAAGATGCTTATTAAATGAGTCTAGAGTCCTGGCCTCAACCATCTTTCTTGGCAATTTGTTCCAGTTGTTGATTACCCTCTGGGTAAAGAAAATCTTCCCAGTATCTGACCTGAAATTGCGCTTTGCCCTTTCAACTTCAAATCTATGTCCTCTTGTTCTACCAACTTCATGCATCCTAAAGTGTTGCTCCAGTTTGACATTTATCAATCCCATTTACAATTTAAATGGCAGTGTAAGGTTACAGTGTGTTAGTGTACCCGAGTGGGAATCACAGTATGAGGTTACAGTATGTGAGTATATTCCAAGTGAGAATGACAGTGTGAGGTTGGAGCATTTTTGTGTACTCTTGGGTAGGAATGCCAATGTAGGCTGGGTTAGAGGTGTACTGTTACTGCCATGGAATGGGCTGCTCTAATCTTGAAAGTGATTCTATAGTTTTCTCAATGTAACAGTCTATAATCTGTAGGAGGTGACTCACCACACTGTGGGCGTCAAAGACTCTTAAGTGCTACTGGACTATTTTGAAAATGGATCACATCAGTTTGTGCGATTTCACACTGAAAACAATTTTCACTAAGAAATTTGCACCGACACTCTTACACGGACGATAGCTCCTTTAAAGGTGTCCAGTTCAATCGAATGAAGTAGAGTCCTTAAATGCTTTCAAAAAGGAATTAGATAGAGGCCTGAAAAATAATAGCTTGAATTTATATAGCACCTTTCATGTAGGGAAATATATTGAAGCTCTTTGCAGAAATCATATAGGACTTGAGCAGGATAGAAGATAGGTGAGGAGCAGGAGGAAGATTGTTAGTAGGGTTTTAAAAACGGAGTGGAAGTATAGGAGATGGAGGAATTCCTGTACTGTAGTTAGTGCCTTTTCATGTTAAATTGTTAAAAAACCTTTACAAGAATTTTACTGTAATGGCTGTAGTAAGCAAACACAGCAGCCAATTTGCCATTGCAATGTCCCACAAACTACCATGAAGCGAATCACCAATTTTATCTGAGGAATTGTTGTCCATGACACTGGGAGAAACTCTTCTTTTTAAATAGTGTCATGGGATTTTTAATGTGTATCTGAAAAGGCACAAATGGGACCGTGATTTAATATTGCATGTGAAGGGCGACTTCTCCAACAACAACAAAACCACTTTTATAGCGCCCTTCATGCAGGGTAGCGTCACTGAGTGCTTAACAGTGGCAGAGTCTGACTCTGAGCCAGTGGAGAGAGGTGGCTGTAAGCACGGTTGAAGAGGAAGGTTTTCAGGTAGGTTCTCCCAGCATTGGACTGAATTGTCAGCCTAGGCCACCAGTTGAAAGTTCTGATGTTGGGCTTGAACCCACAATCGTCTGACTTAGAGGAGAGAGTGCTACCAACTGGGCCAGGCTGATATTTATAGCGGTATAGTAAAGGGTATATGAAGCAAGCAGTGGGATTAGCAGGTGGCTAATGTGGAAAGAAACACCTGCAGAGATTTGAGGGAGCTGGGTGGTGAATGGTCTGTAACACCTTATAATTCCTCGTGGAATCTCAAGAACTGAGTAGCTTCAATAAAGGAAAAAAAACAGGTTCAATAGTTCAAAACATTTGAATAGAACAACTCACCAAAGGTGTCTCAAGTCTGAAGCTAGAAGCTCACATCATTTGGAATTCCTCTAATTCCTGTTAAAATCCTCGTCCGAGATAGTCAGTGAGAGACTAGATCAAACTGTTAGTGGTTCAGGACTGAGAGAGAAAACCCAATATTATTAATGTTTTTTGCATTTGATACTCTGCCTATACGATCCAGTGTCTCAAAACGCTTGACAAAATCTTTAAAAGTGTAGTGACTGAGTGTTTTGTGGGCAAACCAGGCAGCCAATTTTTGCTCACAGCAATGTCTTACAAACAGCCATCAAGTGAATGACCAATTTTCACTATGCTACTCTTTTGCATCTCTAAACTGTGTAATAAGAGGTGAGATTTACATTACAGCTTCACATATCAATCAGCATTGATTGTCAGCGAGCTCACCTGGAGATGCTCCCTTCTCTTTTCAAATAGGGCCACATGATTTTTAAAAGTCCAACTGAACAGGCAATCAGGACCTCAGTTTAATGTCTCATCTGAACGAAGGCAACTCTGACAATACACCCCTTGCACTGCACTGGGGTGTCAGCCTGGATGGTCAGCTCACAGTATTTTTGAACAGTATATATTCCGTTAAGTACTTTCTAAATTGAAGTCTACTAACCTCTCCCAGAACTAGGCTGGTGGAGGCGGTGAAAATAAATAGGTGGGTGGTTAGGGTGGTGATCCTGGCAGTCAGCCAAGCCACACTCCCCTTGCTCATTCTTACTTAAGTCTTTAACAGGCTGAATTGGAAGGGTGGATGAACCGACTAACCTCCTGTACCACCCTCAACAACACAAACTGTAGCAATTAAGGGGACAGATAAATGAGAGGCTCTACAAGCATCTGCGACTACAGGCAGTAAGTGTAGAGCTTCTCTTTCCGTCTGCTGATTGCTCCTGCTATGTTTCATTGACATGAAGGAGAGCCAATGTGGAGTCAATTCCACTGGCATTGGGTGGGAGAGAGAGAGAGAGAGGGGAAGGCGTTGTTCAATGTTGGAGCAGAGAGTGAAAGGGAGCTTCAGGTGAGGGACTTTGACAGAGAGAGTAACAAGGATTGATGTTGAACCTTGCATTGACAACACATAGAATTAGAGATCAGAAAACTGGAGGCTGCAGGACGCAGGTACTGCAAAATGACATTGATTTGCTCAGCACAGAGCACAAACAAAAACTGGGAGGTTTCTGCCACAACGCGGTGTTAAAATCAGCTCTGGGTATGGACGTAAGTAAGTTAACACTGATATTATCCAGCATTGCTTTGAAACCTGCGCTGTGAATTATATCCACACTCTGTCTCTCCTCTTGCTCATTCTTAAATCTTTGCCATATTCAGTGTTGAATTGTAGAGATGCATATTGTGCGTGTAACCTTTCTGTTTTGGAGAAAAAAGTCGATTCGGGAAAGTCACTGTGTACTTTTTAGTCCATTGATTTATTTTATTGTTTGAGCTGAATTAGTGTAAGGGACTCTGAGATCAGCTTGGGGGGCACAGGGACTCCGAGATCAGCTTGGGGGGCACAGGGACTCCGAGATCAGCTTGGGGGGCACAGGTACTCTGAGATCGGCTTGGGGGCACAGGGTCTCTGAAATCAGCTTGGGGGCACAGGGACTCTGAGATCGGCTTGGGGGGCACAGGGACTCTGAGATCGGCTTGGGGGCACAGGGTCTCTGAAATCAGCTTGGGGGCACAGGGACTCTGAGATCGGCTTGGGGGCACCGGGACTCTGAGATCGCCTTGGGGGGGCACAGGGACTCTGAGATCGGCTTGGGGGGCACAGGGACTCTGAGATCGCCTTGGAGGGCACAGGGACTCTGAGATCGCCTTGGGGGGCACAGGGACTCTGAGATCGCCTTGGGGGGCACAGGGACTCTGAGATCGGCTTGGGGGGCACAGGGACTCTGAGATCGGCTTGGGGGGCACAGGGACTCTGAGATCGGCTTGGGGGGTACAGGTATTCTGAGATCGGCTTGGGGGCACAGGGACTCTGAGATCGGCTTGGGGGGCACAGGGACTCTGAGATCGCCTTGGGGGCACAGGGACTCTGAGATCGCCTTGGGGGCACAGGGACTCTGAGATCGGCTTGGGGGCACAGGGACTCTGAGTTTGCCTTGGGGGGCACAGGGACTCTAAGAACGGCTTGGGGGGCACAGGGACTCTGAGATCGCTTGGGGGCACAGGGACTCTGAGATCGGCTTGGGGGGCACAGGGACTCTGAGATCGGCTTGGGGGGTACAGGTACTCTGAGATCGGCTTGGGGGCACAGGGTCTCTGAAATCAGCTTGGGGGCACAGGGACTCTGAGATCGGCTTGGGGGGGCACAGGGACTCTGAGATCGGCTTGGGGGGCACAGGGACTCTGAGATCGGCTTGGGGGGCACAGGGACTCCGAGATCGGCTTGGGGGGCACAGGGACTCCGAGATCGCCTTGGGGGGCACAGGGACTCCGAGATCGCCTTGGGGGGCACAGGGACTCTGAGATCGCCTTGGGGGGCACAGGGACTCTGAGATCGGCTTGGGGGGCACAGGGACTCTGAGATCGGCTTGGGGGGCACAGGGACTCTGAGTTTGCCTTGGGGGGCACAGGGACTCTAAGAACGGCTTGGGGGGCACAGGGAGTCTGAGATCGCCTTGGGGGCACAGGGACTCTGAGATCGGCTTGGGGGGCACATGGACTCTGAGATCGGCTTGGGGGGTACAGGTACTCTGAGATCGGCTTGGGGGGCACATGGACTCTGAGATCGGCTTGGGGGGGTACAGGTACTCTGAGATCGGCTTGGGGGGCACAGGGACTCTGAGATCAGCTTGGGGGGCACAGGGACTCTGCAATCGGCTTGGGGGGCACAGGGACTCTGAGATCAGCTTGGGGGGCACAGGGACTCTGAGATCAGCTTGGAGGGCACAGGGACTCTGAGATCAGCTTGGAGGGCACAGGGACTCTGAGATCAGCTTGGGGGCACAGGGACTCTGAGATCGGCTTGGGGGGGCACAGAAACTCCTTGTCTTTGAAAGGCTGCCTCTGCACAGCGCTGTGTTGCAGACCAAGGGATGGGGCTGCAACCTCTTTATACTTGGTGCAAATGCTGGCCTTGGCTGTCAGTCTAGTGCTGTCAAATGTGAAGCTGTAATGTAAATCTCACCTCTTATTACACAATTTAGTAATGCAACAGAATAGCATAATGAAATGAAAGGGTTTCAGCTGATGATGTGCAGGCATACAGTTTACAGGACTGGAAAATAAACCTCACAGACCTGAAGATTGATATGTGTTCATTTCAGACTTTTTAAAAAAAAAATCTTTTAGTGGTTATCATGATATCACCTTCTGCTATTTATGAATTATGGTTATCAATTAATATCGATCCGTGGGGATGCCGACCTCCACGTTCCACAGCGGATCCAATTCCGCACAAACCCGCAACAGCTTTACTCCTCTCTACCTCTGTGACCCCACTGCCCCAGCCGCTCCCTCCAGTCAGCAAATACTGGTCTGCTTCATGTCCCCCATCTGATCCCTCCACCATTTGTGGCCAAGCTCTCAGTCATTTTACCCCCACTGTCTGGGACTCCATCTCGGAGTCCCTCTGTCTTGTTCCTCCCTCCCTCCCCATGTTCAAAACCTGCCTTAAGATGTATCTTTTCAACTATGCCTTCGGCCACCCTCCCTTCCCCTCCCCCACCACCCTCGGCACCCAGTCAGCTGTGTGAAGATCTTTGAGACATCCTCCCAATGTGAATTTAATTCATTTAATTTCAGGCTGGAGATGTTATCGATCAGGGTAACTGTTGGCTAGTGGGGTGCGAGGCTTGGAGTGCACATGCTATAATCTTGTTGTTGTTGTTGCACGGCTCAGAGATAACCTGAGCCAGAATACACACAGAATATCACTCAGTAACTCATTCACATCTTGAACTAGTTCAGCTGGTGTGTGTAACAGTACTGCCTCCTGGGCACTGTACACTAACTACAAGGTGATGATTCACTTATGTATTGTACAGTAGGGCTTGTGCGTACCTCATTGCCTATGTGCATGTGTACTTAGTGGGGGGGATAAGGCTGGTGAGGACAGGACACTGGCTGGTGGTATCACTCACACTGACAGTACAATACAATGATTCAGTGCAATTTAATATCCTGATATGTAGTCACTGCTGTGAACAAATAATCTTGATTCTCCGCACATTAAGTTACTGATGTGAAATGTGTTGCCTGGGGAAGTGGGTGAGTGAGGCAAGGCACTCAGCAGAGAGGTTGTATGCTGTTGGAGACTGTGTGGGGGGAGAATAAATCTATGTTTAGGTGCATTCACTTACTCTTTCTCTGCTTTATTTTCTTTAATTTCTATCTTCTCCTCCCAGAGTCACAATTCTACTTTTCTGTCCCTTTTTCTTTCTGTAGTGGTCTGAGTAGTGAGTGAGAGAGACACACACACACACAAACATTCACAAATGTGTAGATGTACTCTCACAGACACACATTAACTCATGTATTTGCATATTCACAACAATAACAACAACTTACATTTATATAGTGTCCGTCATGAAGGATAACATCTCAGAGCTCATGGTAAAATATATGCACTACCAACAATGGTTCCCCAGCACTGTATTGGAGTGTCAGTCTAAACTGTGAGTTCAAAGCCCTGATTTACGGCTTAAATCCACAACCTTCTGACTCAGAGGTGACAGTATTACCAACTGAGCCAGGCTAGTATCTAAAACCACAGTACAATGTGGAAGGAAAATACAAAGTTCACCAGAGGCTGGAATTGCAACACTGCCATGTTGGATTGGGAGCACAATGCTGAGATACGTGAGTGACTGAATTTACCACGATTCTACTCTACTTTAAGCTCTTGAATGAAGCCGGATCAGATTCTGCACTGCAGTAAACACAGGGGTCACAGGAATCTGAAGTATCAGCTGGTTAGTGTTGGAGTGGAAACACACGTCTCTCCCCAGACAGTCAATTTTATGTTGGAACGAACCTTGGGGAGAACAAAATAAAACCTGGTTTCTGCAGCCAGTCTGCAGTCTGCTGGTAACCAAGCAACATGGTGCTGAGCAAGTGCGTTCTCACCTCTTCTGGGTGGCCCAGAGCTTGTCTCTCTGACTCAGAGTATTATTGTCAGGAACTGACAAACAGGAACTAAAGTGGAGTCAGGCGACACCAGAGTTTATATAAACACATTGAGGGTTTCTTGGAAAAGGCTACCCCCTGAGACCCTCACAAAGGCCCTCTCATCATCAAACATCCTATCCCTCTGGCCCTCCACTCGCGGAGATCCTGAAGCAGCCGTCCAGCTGCTCCATGATCACCTCTCCTCCACCTTCAACTGCCTCGTGCCCCTGAAATCCAGGACTATCTCCAAACCCACCCGGTCCCCCTGGTACAACAACAATCTCTGCCGCCAAAAACTCAAACCCAGCTGCTCGAGCGCAGATGGCGGAAAACTGGCCTGACAGTCCACCGCCAACTATGGCTCGAGCATCTCCACAGCTACCGCCATTCTTTGACTCGTACAAAAACGGCCTTCTACTCCAACATCATTTTGGAGGCTAAACACAACCCAAAAATCCTTTTTTCCACCACCCACTAGCTCCTCTGTGCACCCCCTCAGGCCTCCTCAATCTTCGTATCAAATGCCAAATGCGAAGAGGTCATGGATTTCTTTTCTTCTAAAATACTTAACATCCGCCAGGCAGCCTCATCCACCTGCACCTTGTCACCCACCACCACGCCCTCTCTGTCCCCCTCACCTTCCTCATCATCTGCTCCTACCACCATCCCCATTCTACATTCCTTCCTCCCCATCTCTCCCTCCTCCCTCTCACCCATCATCATCTCCATGAAACCCACCACCTGCTGCCTTGACCCCCTCCCCACCAATTTACTGGTCACCCAGTTTCCCCTCCTCTTCCCACTACTGGCTGACATCATCAACCAATTCCTCTCCTCCGGATCAGTCCCTGCCTCCCTCAAAAATGCTGTCATCACCCACCTCCTGAAAAAACCCTTCCTAGATCCCTCAAACCCCAGCCACTACCGCCCTATTTCTAACCTGCCTTTCCTCTCAAAAGTTCTAGAATGTGTCGTTGCCAACCAACTTCGCGACACCTCTCCCATTCCCTCTTCGAACCCCTCCAGTCCGGTTTCCGCCCTGCCCGCAATACAGAGACTGCGCTTGTGAAAGTCACAAACAATATCCTCTCTATCTGTGATCAGGGC